AGGGTGGTCTTGCCGTGGTCGACGTGGGCGATGATGGCGACGTTGCGGAGTTGGGTGGTCATGGGAGGGATCTGTGGGGATGGCTGGTCGCCCCTGTTGGGGGCGTGAGGCGAGGGGGAGGGATGTTGGGACGGGGGACGGAGCGCGGGAATGATAGCCGAGGGCGGAAAGAAATGGCCAAATAGCAGATGGCCAAATGGCCAAATTGTTTGGGCGCTCGGGGGGCGTCTGGAAATGTAGGGCGTCGGGGGTGACGGATGGGGGTTCTGGTCCCCTCACTGGCGTTCGGGGTTGCCATAAGGGGATGAGGCGATCATGCGTCCTCGGGGAAGATCATGGCCAGGAGGTAGACCGTGAACATGGCGAGACCGAGGGCGAGGGCGACCCAGTTTCTGGTGGTCCTTTTGACCATGAGCAGCCCGAGCGCGACGACCGCGGCGAGCATGCCGAGGGCGTTGTAGAAGATGGGCACGAGGTTATCGATGGTCCCGTCCTCTTCGATGATCGCGTACATGATCAGGAACACGATGATCTGGACGAGGTGGAAGAGGATGTACGCCAGCAGGACGTTTGTGTAGGCCGCGTGGTTGAGGCGGAAGTGCCTGACGATCCGTTCGTGCGGCGTGCGCGCTGTGCGGCGGACGGGGTTTCCGTTGAGGTAGTTGCGGAGTTCCTCGGCGAGTTCGTTGGGTGTGGTGTATCGGCGTGACCTGTCTTTCTCCAGGCACTTGATGGTGACCCAATCGAGGTCACGTCGGAGTTGCCTTGTGAGGGCTTTGGGGTTCGCCTGGCGGAGCTTGACGATTTTGCTGGCGGTGTCGGCGCCGGACTGGTTGGCGAGCATGGTTTTGACGCGCGTGCTCGGCTTCGGGGGCTCGGTCTCGCGGATGACGCGCTGGATGTCGTGGAAGGGGGCGCGTTTGAGGTCGAATGGGCGGACGCCCGTGAGGAGCTCGTAGAGCAGGACGCCGAGGGAGTAGACGTCGGCGCGGGTGTCGATGTCGACGCCGGACATCTCGGCCTGCTCGGGGGACATGTATTCGGGCGTGCCGATGAGCTGGCCTCGGTCGGTGAAGAGGGTCTGTTCGGTGAGTCGTTGGTTGAGGGCTTTGGCGACACCGAAGTCGATGATCTTGGGTCGGGCGCGTCCCTGGTCGTCGTAGCCGACGAGGATGTTGGAGGGCTTGAGGTCGCGGTGGATGACGCCTTTGGTGTGCGCGTGCTGGACGGCGTGCGCGATCTCGATGATGAGCTCGAGGCGCTGCTCGATGCTGAAGGTGTTGCGGTCGCAGAACGCTGTGACGGGCTCGCCCTTGACGAGTTCCATGGCGAAGAAGGGGAGGCCGCGTTCGGTCTCGCCCGCGTCGTAGACCCTGGCGATGCCGGGGTGGTTCATGACGGCGAGGGCCTGCTCCTCGGCGCGGAAGCGGGCGACGACGGCTTTGGAGTCCATGCCCGGCTTGATGACCTTGATCGCGACCCGGCGGGTGACCGGGCTTCGCTGCTCGGCTTCGTAGACGATGCCGAAGGCGCCCTCGCCCAGGCGGCCGAGGATGAGGTAGCGGCCCGCGAGGTTGGTCCCCAGGAGCGGGTCGGGCGTGGGGTCGTCCGGGGGTGTTGAGATGGATGCCGTTGGGAGTTCGGACATCGGGATGCCCAGGGGTGTTGCGGCTTGGGGTGCTTTGTGGTGGGGGTTGGGCGTGTGTTGAATTTCGCGGGAATGGTAGCTGAGGGGGAGGGGGAAATGGCCAAAGAGCAAATGGGCAGATGGCCAAATGTTTTGCGCTCGGGGGCTCCGTGTGAAATACCGGGCGGCGTGGTGATGGGATGGGAGTTCTGGTCCCCTCACTGGCGTTCGGGGTTGCCATTGGGGGTGGTATTGATGGACCCCCTCACTGGCGTTCGGGGTTGCCATGGACGTCGCCGTGTACCACTCTCCCACGCTCGGGTGAGCGGTGGGGTTCGTGATGTGCGGCCATCTGGACTGCCGACGCGTAGACCGCTCCCTCACGGTCGCGGTTGCTACAGCAGTGCATTCCGTATCGATTCCTCGAAGACGATGATGGCGATACCCCCCACTGCTGTGAGGGCGGCGAGGATGGCTCTGGGGCTGACGTGTTCTTTCATGACGAGGGGCATGAAGGGGAGGATGAAGACGGGGGAGAGGCCGCAGAGGGTCTGGGCGACGCCGACGGGGGTGTTGGCGGCGGCGACGAGGGAGAGCCAGACGCCGAGGACGGGGCCGCAGATGGCGCCCATGAGGGCGAGGGAGTAGCCGGTTGGTTTTTTGCCGATGCGGTCGGGCTGTTTGCCGCTGGCGACGGACTTTGTGTGGAGGGCCTGGAGGATGATGAAGATGGGGATGATTGTGATGCAGGCGAAGAGCATGCGGACGTAGGTGGCGGCCTGGGGGTCAAGTTGCTGCTCTTTGGGGAGGATGTCGATGCCCATGCCGGTCTTGGACCACATGAGGCCGGCGGCCTGGCACATCGCGCCGATGACGGCGAAGACGATGCCGCGGCGGAAGTGCGGGTGGGGCTGGGTGTCGACTTTGGCTTTGGGTCTTTCGAGGACGGCCCAGATGACGGCGGCGATGGTGACGGCCATGCCGGTGAGGGTGATGGGCGTGAGGACTTCGTCCAGGAAGGCGTAGCCCATGAGGGTGGCCCATACGGGGGCGGTGGTCATGCAGAGGATGGCGAGTCGGGGGCCGATGTAGAGGAAGCTGGTGAAGAGGAACTGGTCTCCGATGGCGAGTCCGACGGCGCCGGAGATGGCGAGGTCGCGCATCTGCTGGGGTGACATCTCGGGGAAGAGCGTGCCTGAGAGCGCGGCGAAGATGAGGGCGTGCATGGCGAGTGCCATGAAGAGTCGAGAGGTGTTGACGATGGTGGAGCCGAGGCGTTTGCCGGCGGCGGTGAAGAAGAGGGAGGTGAAGACCCAGAGGAGGGAGGTGCCGATGCCGGCGAGTGCGCCGATGGTGATGGATCCGTCAACGGACATGGGGTGGGATGGTATCAGGGGTGTGTCGCGCGGCGTGGTGCGCGGGGGTAGACTGGGGCGTCGTCACACAGGAATGAGGAGACTCGCATGCGGACCGTATTCGGGCGAATGGTTGCTGGGCTTTCGGTGCTTTGCGTGGTCGTGGGGTGCGACGCGCAGGTGATGCCGGGATCGAACATCGAGGAGCTGAACGAGGGGACGATTCTTGCGGGGATCACGGTGCGGCCCGGGTACGAGGTGACGCCGGCGATCTCGGACCTGCGGGGGATCCGGTTTTTGGAGTTCGGGGACCGGGGTGAGCTGTATGTGTCGATCCCGATGCGGGGCGAGATCGTGACGCTGGAGGACGAGGACGGGGACGGCGAGTTCGAGAAGCGTACGACGTACCTGACGAACCGGGAGTCGCGCGGGGTGCACGGGATGCACTTCTTTGACGGGTGGCTGTGGTATACGACGTCGACGGCGGTGTACAAGACGCGCGACGCGGACGGGGACGGGGTCGCTGATCAGATCGAGAACGTGCTCGAGGGGTTGCCGGGCGGATCGGGGCACTGGTGGCGGCCGATCCTGGTGACGGGGACTCATTTCTACACGGGCGTGGGCGACACGGGGAACATTGACGACGAGCGCGAGACGGATCGGCAGAAGCTGTTCCGGTACAACCTCGACGGGTCGGGGAAGCACATGTTTTCCAGCGGCATCCGGAACACGGAGAAGCTGCGGCTGCGCCCGGGGACGACGGAGATCTGGGGGTGCGACCACGGGAGCGACAACTTCGGGGCGGAGCTTGGCGAGTCGTTCCCGCGGGACATCCCGGTGACGGATCACTTCCCGCCGGACGAGCTGAACCGGTACGAGGACGGGGAGTTCTACGGACACCCGTTCCTGGTTGGGAAGCGTGTTCCTCGGATCGAGTACCAGGATCACGAGGAGATCCTCGAGCTGGCGCGGATGACGCGGATCCCGTTCTGGGAATTCCCGTCGCACTGCGCGACGAACGGTTTCACGTTTTTGGAAGCGAGCGACGCGTTCCCGGAGGATCACGCGGGGGACATGTTCGTGGCGTGCCACGGGAGCTGGAACCGGAGTTTCCCGAGCGGCTACAACGTGGTGCGCGTTCTGTTTGATGATGTGACGGGTCTGCCGTACGGGATGCAGGAGATCGTTGGCGGGCTGGAGGTGAACGGGACGGGGGCGTACATGCGTCCGGTGGACTGCGTGCAGGCGCCGGACGGGAGCGTGATCTTCAGCTTCGATCACAACGTTCGGGATGCGCCCCCCGGGGCGTTCCGGATTCGGTGGGTTGGGGACAAGGACGCGGGTGAGGCCCCCGCTGCTGTCGAGGAAGATTCGGAGGGGGATGAGGGGTGAGGCGTTTGCGTCTCATCGTGCTCGGGGGTGGGTTTCTTGTGTGTGTCGCCGTCACGCCGTTCGTCATCGGCGCTCCGGAAGCAACTGGCGTTGGCTCGGTTCGAGAGATCGAAGCGCTCGAGGTCGGGCCTCGGGCGTTTTTCAATGATTCGTGCGCGCGGTGTCACGGGGAAGACGGGTGGGGTTATGCGCCGGGGTACACGGCGAAGCATCCGCGCGATTGGCTGCTTCGCGAGGTGAAGAGGATGATCGAGGGTCCGGCGCAGCGCCGTCTCGATGATCGCTCGATCGAGGCGCTGACGGATTTTCACTTCGCGGTCGACGCGGGGGACGACGGGTTGTTCCTCGCGGTGACGTCGTGGGGCGATACGGTCGAGGGGGAGTGCCTGCCGGGGACGATGATCGGCGCGAAGCGGCGCGTTGAGGGGAACAAGAGCGAGACGCGGTACGTCACGCCGGGGCGGGACGCGACGGCGTGGTCGCTCGACGGGTGGCGCGGGGATGAGCTCTTGGCGTTGTGGGTGGAGCCGGTGACGAGCGAGCGGAAGCTCAGCGACGCGCACAAGGCGTGGCCGAAGCTGCCGGTGACGGGACGGGTCGGGGTGCAGCTGTTCGGGCCCGACGCGTCGGCGCCGGGTGAGCGGGTGTTCCGCGGGGCGTGGGTGGCGACGGATCGGTCAGGGCGCGTCTTCGGGGAGGTTGATCCGGGTGAGTGAGACGCGTCCGGGGGTGTCGGGGTTGGGAGAGATGAGGATGAGTGGGAAGCGCGGGTCGTTCGTGGCGCGAGGGACGTGGTCGCCTTCGAGGAGTTCGGTGGCGGGGCGCGGGTTGGCGTCTTTGGGGAGGCGTTGGTAGAGCAGGCCTCGGGGGGTGGTGAGGGCGATGCCCGGGGCGGCGCCGTCGTTGATGGGGGCGGCGGCGATGGAGTGCTCGGTGAGGGGGGTGAGGGTGCCGGTGGCGGCGTCGAAGAGGGTGACGCGTCCTGAGGTCGGATGGAGAAAGGCCAGGCGGTCGTCCGATCCGAGCGCGGGGGCGGGGGACTGGATGGCGACCATGGTCTGGTAGACGAGGAAGGGGTCCGCGATGTCGGCGATGCGCCGGCGCGAGATGGTCGGGCCGAGGGCGCCGTCTCCGAGCTGGCGCGCGGCGAGATCGACGCCGTTTTCGGTGAGCTCGAAGAGGTAGATGGTTTTCGGGTCGCTCGTGAAGAAGGGGTAGACGCGGGTGATGTTGGCGGGGAAGGGCTGCTCGATGCGCTGGCCGCGGGCGGTGCGGATGTTGAGGACGGGCGGGTCGCCCTCGCGCCGGCTCATCCAGGCGAGGTCTCCGCGGGTGGAGAAGGTGGCGAAGGCGTTGATGTTCTTGTCGTCGGCGATCCAGTCGAGGTCGCCGGTCTGCCAGTTGACGAAGCCGATGCGTCGGGAGCCGTCGAGCTGGGGGGATTCGACGAGGACGCCTCGGTCGTTGGCGGAGCGGCCGAGGAGGAGGGACGGGGGGAGGGGCGTTCCCGGGGTGATCTCGCGGGGGGCGCGTCCGGTGATGTCGAAGAGGCGGATCTTGGTGCCGAGGGTGAGGCGCGGGCCGCCCTCGGCGAGGAGGGTGGGCCAGTCGGGGGCGTCGCCGGTCTGGGTGGCGAGGTAGCGTCCGTCGGGTGAGATGACGGGGAGGACCTGGGCGTCGAAGGGGACCGAGCCGATGGGCTGGACGCCGACGATGATGCGCGAGGAGGTGGCGCGGGCGTTGGTGGCGGGCGCGGCGACGGGGCCGTCGGGGAGGGTGCGCTCGACCCGGCTGGGTCGGGGGTCTCGGGGGCGCTCGGGGGCGACCACACGCCGCTCGGTCACGCAGCCGAGCAGCGCGGAGGCGGCGATGGCGAGGATGAGCGGTTGGGCGCGGCGCATCAGTCGCCTTCTTCTTCGTCTTTCTTGTCGTCGTCGTTGTCGTGCTTGAAGTTGCCGTCCTCGTCGCGGTTGCGGGTGGGGTCGAGGGCTTCCTCGGGCTTGAGGACGTCGCGGAGCTCTTCGAGGCGCTGGCGGTCCTTCTCGTTGATGGCGTCGACCTCGGCGGGGTTGTCGACGACGTAGGGGGTGATGAAGGCGACGAGTTCGGTGTTGGTGGTCTCGCGTTCGGTGGAGGTGAAGAGGGCGCCGAGGAGGGGGATGTCGCCCAGGAAGGGGACCTTGCGGAAGATCTCGGATTCTTCGGAGCGGAGGATGCCGGAGATGACGACGGTCTGGCCGTCGCCGACGATGAGCTGGGTTGTTGCCTCGCGCC